TAATACTCATTCAGTGCTATAAATTCTCCTTTTGACAGACACATACCACTGTCGTGGGCTGGTCTGTGGTCAGGCACTTCCCAACCTGTCACAACTGATAAGTTTATAGTGCTACCCAAACTTCATGCTGGTTATACCCAAGTTTAAGTGTCTTTACTTAGCACATGATGGTTTCCTGGGAAGCTTTCCAAGGGGTTTGTTATGTCATATAATAAGCATAGATGTTATAAAGAGGATTAAGTCATGCTAGCAATGTGTGAGCCATACTTAGAATCATAAAATCATTTGAGTTGGAAAGGATCTTTATTAAAAGCCATCAAGTCCAACCCCTCTGCAATGGACAGGGACACCTACAGCTTGACCAGGTGCTCAGAGTCCTGTCCAGCTTGACCCTGAATGTCTTCAAGGATGGGGCATCCACCATCTCTCTTGTGCCAGTGCCTCATCACACTTACTGTAAAAAACTTTTTTCTTATATCCAGTTTAAATCTCCCTCTTTTAGTTTGAAACCATTTCTCCTTGTCCTATCACAACAGACCCTGCTGAAATGTCTAACCAATTCTTTCTTACAGCCCCTCTTTAGATAATGAGAGGCTGCCCTTCGGTCTCCCCAGAGCCTGCTCTTCTCCAGGCTGAAGGGCTCCAGCTCTCTCAGCCTGTTTCAATTTCCTCTCTACCCAACCTGCCTAGGGATTGTCTTGTTGCTGTTTAAGGGTCTGGATGTGCCACTTTCCTCCATGCAGCCCCACAAAGCCCTCTGTGCTCCGAGATGCAGCAGCTGTCACAGCACTTGCTGTGAGGCAGAGGGCTCTGGAGACTTCTCCCTGCCCTTCTCCACACAGTGAGGCTGACAGAGAAGTGGCACTGAAAGAGATTTCAACTGCCCACGTCTCAGTGGCGGAGTTGTACCTGACCACCTGTAGTGTATTCACCCTAAAAACTGCCAATGCCAAGAGGAAACAACGTAAAGCAGTCATGTAACATATGCACACAACGCTGCTCAAATCCTCACACCCCTATGATTATTTCCCAATTCCCAGTAGAAAACAATATCAAACACATACAGAGTATAACTAAGAACAAACTCAGGCAAGTTCTCCCCTCTCCTGCAGGATGCAGACAAGCAGAGCAGGGGCCACGTGCCTACCGACCTGCAGGGCTCCCTGATGGTGCACAGTGGATGTTACCGTGCCTCCTGCATAGAAATCCTTTGCACTACACAAACTGAATCTCATCTGCCATCTGAAACTTCTATCAAAAGAAGAAGCATCAGAAAACCTTTGTAAAGGTATTAATCATTTCTCATAACCAACAGCAAACACAGGTGGGATTAAAGTTGCAGTTATCGGCTCCTGTGCTGCAACTGAGTACCAAACAGCAGGAAGGCAACAGCTGAAGCTGCCAAGGTACTTTAGGTGGAAAGAATGTAATTATCACTATAGAAATAGGATCTGAGCAAAGTGCATGCAATTTTTGTAGCAGAGGAAGAGATATTTCCATGTTGTGACTCACACATCGCTTTCACAACCACTCCAGATTTGGGGTTGCCCTTCCTCAGACCCAAAACAGACCCTACCATTTTCTCTCAGTTTAGCAGCCCTGAGCTAAAAACCACAACTCCATCAGGAAGCGTTTGAAACAAATACTTACTTTCCATTTCAACACTGGCTCCACACCAGTGCCCAAGGAAGTGCCAAGACCCAGTGCATCCCTTAAGACACCTTAAAAAGAAGAGCTGCCCGGCGCTCAGCGCAGCGTGGGGCACAGGCAGCACGAGGAGCCACTATCACTTTCTGTATGGAAACCACGTGGGCTGCTTTGCTCACAGCAGGGCCTGCCAGCACACGGTTGGTCTTTTTCTTTTTGAAACACAGGAGCTGGCTTTCAAGCTTCAGGTTTTCTTCTGACAGATTCTCAAGATCACGAGTAAAAAAAAATAGGGATAGACGGCGTAGCCCCGGTGTGCAAAACACAGCGCATATTTTAATCTGTGCTTTGTGAATCTGCTGTGGTCACAGAATCAATTTGAATCATTTCCATACTGAAAGGTGCTGGGTATGCCACACACCAGGGCACAAACACTCGGTTACTGAAAATGAGACCTTCGCTCATCCAAAAGAAAGGAAACTTTCTCCAAATTCAGCAATTCAGCTGCAGCTTGGAGCTTTGCATAGAGGAGAAAAAAAGCTTTACACTAAAAGAAGGGAGATTTAGGTTAGATGTCAGGATGAAATTCTTTACTCATAGAATGGTGAGGCCCTGGCACAGCTGCCCAGAAAGCTGTGGTGCCCCATTCCTGGAGGTGCTCAAGGCCAGGCTGGATGGGCCTTGGGCAGCCTCAGCTGGTGGGGGCAACCAGCCGATGGCAGGGGTTGGGGCTGGGTGGGCTTTGTGTTCCCTTCCAACCCAAACCATTCTATGGTTTAATGATTCTCTGAAAATGAAAGAAATACTGCTGCAGGGCTCAGCAGAGACCTTGGTGGGCAGGCATTGCTTCCAAGTGAGCTGGGCACAGAGCTTTCAGAGAGGAAAAGGGAGGAAGAACAGATGCACACATGAGCTACTTTGTGCACGTGCACAGCCCCTAAAATGAAAGTCTTCTATTTCACTGCTTCAAAAAGACAAGTGCACTTGTCGTAGCTGATGTGAAATGAAAAGATTTGCTTATAGAAACGCTTCTGTGCCCTTTCGGTCTCTGACTGACCAAAGTGCCATGGGACATGGTTGTCCTCAGCTCTCCTGCTTGGTTGTTTCCAAGTTCTGGGTCAAAACCACATCTACTGAAATGGCATTAGGTGGTCAGGGGCACCTTATCTATTATGCAGTCTGAGATCTGATTAGTGCCATACACGATGTTTTTCATAGAATCTCAGAATCATTAAGGTTGGAGAAGACCACTAAGCTCACCACGTCCAACCCCAGCCCACCCCCACCATGCCCACGGCCCTCGCACACCCCCAGGCACACTCAGCCCTGACCCCCAGCAGACCCCCCGGTGCTGAGCCCCTCCCCAAAGCCCGGCGCTCGCCGCGCTGCCCCCGCCCCGCCCAAGCCTTTGTGTGCCGCGGGGAGGGGGCGGCGGGGGGCAGTTACCGATGGAGACCTCCTGGGCGAAGGCGAGGGAGATGAGGAGCAGCGGCAGCCCCACGGCGATGCAGGTGACGATCTTGTCCAGCGCCAACTCCAGCCGCAGCCCTTTGTAACGCGTCTCGGGCGGCTCCTTCAGCAAGAAGTCCGAGAAGACGTACTCGGTGGCGATGTGCGCGATGGCCATGGCGGGCACGGCTCGGTGCGGCGCTGCTCGGCTCGGTGCGGCGCTGCTCGGCTCGGCTCGGCTCGGCACGGCACGGTGCGGCTCCGCCCGGCTCGGCGCGGCGCCGCCCAGCAGCGCCCACAGCGCCCGGCCCTGCGCCGCCCCCTCGCGGCTGCTGCCCGCCGTGCGCCCGGCGGTGCTGCTCGTGTGTTACGGCCCTTGTCCTATCGCTTGGCACCGCTGGAACCTGGCTTCTAATTCATACAGCCCGGTCAGGCGTTTGTACGCACTGATATCGAGCAGTGTGTGACACAGCATGAGGAGGACGTAAAACCATGAAAGAGTGTCCAAAGGACGGCTACAAGGATGGGGACGGGTCTGAGGGCGAGACCTGTGAGGGGCGGCTGGGAGCAGAGCAGCTGAGGGGAGGCCTGATGGCGGCTGCAGCTCCTCACAGGCAGCGGAGGGCAGCGCTGAGCTCTGCTCTGTGTGACAGCGACAGGGCCGAGGGAACGGCATGGAGCTGTGACAGGGGAGGGCAGATGGGGGTGAGGGAAAGGGTCTGCACCACAGGGCGGTGGGCATGGAACAGCCTGCACAGGGCAGTGGGCACGGCCCCGAGCTGCTGGAGCGCAGGGGGCGTTTGGACAGTGCTCTCAGACATCTGTTTTGGATTTTGGGTAGTGCTGTGTGGAGTCGAGAGTTGGACAGATGATCCTCGTGGGTCCCTTCCAACTCAGGCTATTTTGTGATTCCATGATAAGATCCCCCACAGTTGCTTCCCTTCTCCAGCTCTCAGCTTCTCCTTGGCCAGGAGATGCTCCAAGCCATGCACAGTAGTGTTTCCTCCAGCCAAAGCCACATCTCAAGTTGTTTTCGCAGGACTCATCTCCAATAACATTTACCTGGCTTTGCCCCCTCCTTTAGATTTTTTTCCTTTTTTATTTCTGTTAGCCTGAGTACCCTCAGCCCTCAGTCCAGGAGTTACAGAGGTGATCATCCACCTCCTCAGCTGTGGCTTTCTGTGCTGCTTCTGTCCAAAGGCACAGCCTCTTCCATTTACCCCCAGCTCTCTTTTTGCAAAAGCTGTGCTATCTGCTTTCAATTGTCCTATTTTTTTCCAAGCCCTGATCCAACAAAATCATTCCTCACACAGAAATAGTTCTGCAACTCCAATTCCCTTTCTTGTTCTTTCTGGGTCATTGTTTGATGGCATCCTTCCCTGGATGGGGCCAGTGCTGGCACTCATGCTGTATCAGGATGCAGGTGCCCCAGACGTCTATGTCACAGTGCCATGATGCTGTCTGGCTTGCTCTGTCCTTAATTCCTAACAGGCTCTGATATCCACTTGCCTTTTGGCCCAGCTAACTTTGTCTCTGAACTATCATAGCTAAGGTTCCATTTTTGAGATGCATATCTGGTGCTTATAGAGCTGGGACTGCTTTTTTCAGCCACCAGTAACTTATCAGAATGTTTTTTATCACTCAGAACCACAGTGTACTTTTGCAAGTTTTTACACTCGGCATCATTTTTCTTGCTGCATGCACTTGTGTCTGTCACTTAACTCAGCCACCCTTTTTCTTTGCCCAGAGAGCGGTGGTGCCCATCACTGCAGGTGCTCAAGGCCAGGTTGGATGGGTCCTGAGCAGCCTGAGCTGATGGAAGCAACCAGCCCATGGCAGGGGTTGGAACTGGCTTCAAGGTACTTTCCAACCCAAACCATTCTGTGATTCTATGATTTTTTCACATCACTTGCAGAAAGCAGTGAAGCACAGAGGTCTTTGTACCCCATGGGTGATTTCCCATCTTTCTGTACCCCATGGGTGATCTTGCTATCTGTCCACTTATCCCTGTCTCTTAACCAGTTAGTTAGCCTGCAAGGGCCTTTCCTCTCACCCTACAGTGACTTTGAGAAACTTTAGCTAACTTTGACTTCCCAGATGTTTTATGGAGATGTAAGCAGGCTATTGTTCAAAACCATCAATAAGGCACAATTTCCTTTGAGGGAAAAAAAAAGAAAAAAGAAAGGTTTATTCTGCTATCATCTGCTTGGCTCTTTTGATCACTTTTTCCGTGGTTTTAGAACAGTAACTGCCAGTTTCAACTTTTGGGTCTCAGGGCTGCTCACAGAGCCTCTCTGGATGGCATCCTGTCCATTGGGCACGTTGACTGCACCACATTTGGTTGATTTGCTCTGCATTCCTGCTGGTGCTTAAGCCCATCACAGATGCTGCCCTTCACTGAAGATACTTTCCACAACTCCTCAATACAGGGCATGCCTCTGCCTGCACGAGGCAGGCAGGTAAGACTAAATGCTGTGCTTTATGCTCTCTGTGACACCTCCTGGTCTCTGTGACAGCCTCTGTCACCCAGGCAAACTGTGATGACGTCCCAAGGCCTTGAGGGCCTCTGGAGGCTTCGTTCTTGTTTCTCAGCCACCATTCAGCTGAGAAGTGTGCCAAGTGAAACAAGCTGTGCCAGAAGGTTTGTACAAATAACCAGATCTTTATTAGCCTTGTCATCATTTTGGCTGGCTACTATGGAAAAAAATATATTTATGATTCTTTTTCTAAAATGTCAGACCCGTTAGCTACTCTAAAAGGAAAAGTATCAAATAATTTCCTTTATTAACTGAATGTTTAAGTGAAAGGCTTTAGTTTTTGTATGTAGACAGAGAGCAAGTGTTCTGTGCAGTGCTTTTGGACAGAAACAGATCTCAATCTTAATGTTTACAAAGTAGAAAGATAACAGGGTATGGGGGTATCTATTTTTATCAGCTCAAGGGATTTAGAAAATGAGTGTGGAAGTGTTTATTGCTATAGCATAGCTCCTGTGTGGGCTCAGTCTTGCAGTTCTACCTCACGTGCATGCTCTTAAATAACTGCAGAAAACAAGGAATCAAGAATCAACTGATAAGCACCCAGGAAACTTCTGCATCTCAAATACCCAGGCATCGACCCAGGACATCGCTAAGCTGCAGAAGGAGGGATGGGCAGCAAAATTCCCTGCATTTGAACGAACTTCAAAATACAGAACTGAAAAGAAAAAAAAATAGAAAAGAACAGCAAAGTGGATTTACATTCAAAATCAGCATTGGATCAATAGTTTCACAGATGTGTTTGTTCTGAAGTTCCTCTGCAAGAGCTGTAGCTGACGTGAGCAGCTGGCTGGCAAGAGTGAGTGCTATGTAATTAGACATGAGCTATAAACATTCAAGTAGTATTAAACACGGCCTGATTCTGTCTGTCTTTTCTGCAGAGCACAGATATCAGCATCCCAATTAAAGTTTGGGAATGAAGCACTGCTCGATGCAGAGAAGAGTTACAGAATCAGGACCACAACGAGCAGCAATCACAAAGTATTACTTCATTGGGGCTGCTCAGGGCTAGATTTTTAAAGGGATTAACAAATCTGTCGCAGATGCTGAGCTTCATCAGGTGCTAAAGTATTTTGGTAGGTACTTAAATGCCTTTAAAAATCTGTCCCCAGTGCACAGCTTCCTCATTTAACAGGACAAAGGGAACAAAAAAAAAATAAAAAGGGAAAATCAGTTAAATGCCAGTGAATTCATTGATGCAGACTCTGGTGTAAGACTGGCTTCCCTTTGGGAAACCTCAGGGAACTTCCAAACTTACACCTGTGCCTTCAGGAGCTGGATGCTGAAGCAGTGTGTGCCCCGTGGTTCTGCACAGAGCACATGGGTGCAAACCTGCCTGCTCCATCCTCCAGTGGGAACGTTGGCCAAGAGGTGTGGTGCCTCAGGCACAGCTGAGTGGTGGTGGGGGTGGGGATGGCAATGGGTGATATGTGGACCTTTCCTGCAGTTCTCAGGAGTGCTGGCAATGGGATGGGACTTCCAGAGTGTGTCTTGTTCTAGTTGTAGCAGCAGCATTTTGTGAAACCTGGCACAGCTCTGTGGATGGTGCTGAAAGTGGGGATTTACAGGGAATCTGCTAGAAGTGCACTTTTGTCATGCAGAGCCTGATATTGGATCCTGCTTCCTTGGCGGGTGATGAGGGAGAGGAAGGCCAATGTTGTCAACAGCAGAATGAGTCCAACAGAAACAAAGGCTGCGAGCATCAGGCTGGCTTCTCCAGGATTCAGAGTTTTGCCAAAGACGTTGTCCCCTTGGCTGTCAGGATCTGTGCAATGAGAGGTGAGAGCTTCATGAGAAATCCACACATAAACATGGAAAGTTTGAAGTGATGTTGTAAAAAATCCATACCCTTTGCAGTGGTCCTGTTTTGTGCAGTAGTTGTACTGTAAGCTGCGGTCGTCAGTCCTTCTTCTGAAGGGGCTTCCAGCTCTTTGCAGGGAGAGAAAAAATGCAGTGGAGTTGAAAGCCTTGAAAAATAGTGGGAAAGTAGCACTGCTTTTCCTGAGTTCCTTCTACTTTTCTAATCTGAACAGAAATCCTGATTACATCAGCACAGTTATAAATATATTGCTCCAGGCAGCTCTGTGGACTAAGTCCATTTTGTCTACAAGGATCTGTTGCTTCACTTCTGTATTTGCTTATTCATTTGAAATTTCAAAGCCAGGAGGGGTAAAATGCATAAAATAAATTCACCTTGTCTAAGGAAGGATTTGGGCTACATATGGCATTACATTTCTCATTCTGCCCCGACAGGGTTACAGGTACAAGGCGTGCCTGCTGGGGCTGTGCAGTCCCTGCAGAGGAATGTGGGAAGCATCGACTGTGCTGCCTGAGATGGGAGATGCTGAGCCTGGGTGTTTTGTGAAATTTTGTGACATGGAGGTGCTCACAAAGCACTTTTGACTTCACTTGCAAGTGGTGGAAGGGATCAGCAGCTCTTAAAAAGTTTGCCAACTTAACTTAATTAAAGGAACACCTCTTTCTTGGGCTGCATGAACAAGAAAATGGAGCATCTTATAGCCCAGCTGATCTCTGCCTGGGCAAGAAGGAATGAGAGCATTCCTGGGAGCCAGAGCTGACTGTAGGAAGGAACCAGCCCTGTGCTTGTCTTGCAGCAGGACTAAAAGACAACTTTGCAGTTGCCTTCTGCACCACCTGTGGATGACTCATGCTCTGCAGGCTGTCAGTGCCTCCAGGGAGGCTCTGTTGAAGCACCAACTGCTTTCACATTGCACAATGCAGCTAAGCTAACTGTTCCTTGCCACGTCATTCAGGCACCCCCATATGATGCTAACTGCACAGGGCAGCATGATATGATTTCCAGGTGCTTCCCTGGAATGTGTGCAGTGCTGATAACTGAGTTGCCTTATTTCCCTGCCTTTCACCCACGTCACTGTGATACCACTTCAGAGCCCTAGGACGTATTTCTGCCACTGCACCTGATTTATTGATGGTGTAGGTCGTTTCCATGCCAGCGTGTATGTGGTCAGCTACATGGCAGTGCAGAAGCCACGTTCCAGGGTTTTCTGCTACAAGTTCAACAGTTTGGAAAGTCCCAGGAAAAAGGTCATATACATCTCCTCTGTGGTCTTTATCTGTCTGTGGCAAGGCAAAATCAGCATTGTAAGTGTCCTGCCTTACTGCATCCAAATACCCCCCAGGCACTGAAATATTCCAAGTAGACTTTTCCCTTTTTGAGGCAGATAAAAGGCTTCTTGTCAACCTTACAGAGGGAAGCTGAGGCTCCCAGGAAACCTACATTTTATCAACTAATTAATTAGCAAAAGGGGTCTCCTCCTAAAGACTTCAGGTTGAGCTCAGGTACTGATAGTCATCCCAGTGCCAAGCTGTCACAACATCAAACTGTTCTGTAAGTATGCAGAACTCTGCTCTCCTCCCTTCATCTTCCCTTATAGCTGTGGATAAGCATGCATTTCAACCCACATGACCATTTCCTCTAACAGTGACATGCATTCATGTTCTATAATAGGTTCAGACTTGTAGAACTTGCAAGAAACCCTTTCATTTTGTGTCTCCTTTACAGGCATATCTGCCACTGATCTCAGTATCAGTAGGGCTATGTGCTCACATTGCAGAAATAGCCCAGAACTTGGACTTTTTTTTTCAGGAATTTCCCATCACACTGTTAAATGTGATTCATTTTACCAACCTTGAAGATGAAGGTCTGTGCATGGAAATGGACTGTATGTACATCTACTTCATTACCCATTCCTATCAAATACCAGTTTGTCGTATCACCTTCATTCATGGTCAGACCCAGGAGACTGTTATAAATCTTCCCATTGATTGCTGGAAGAATGACAAAATAGGACTGATTAATAACTGGCTATGAAATGGGTGATGATAACCATCAGGCACCATCTGTACTTTCTCTCCAAGGAGAACGGGTGCCCAGCACATGTGTCAGGTCAAGGGCTCTCTGTAGTGGCTGCAGGGAGACAGTCATGTTTTTGTTTCACCTAAGTGCATAGCAGCAACCATTTAGTTGTCTCGAGAAGCACCAGGTAGTGTTTGCACCTGTTGAGATCAATCTCCTGAACAAACAGAGGTTTTGCTGACAAGCCTCGTGGAAGAAGAGGGAACAGTAATTGCCTAAAATGGGTAGAGTCTGTAGAAGCAGAAGTTTGCTTTGCCAGAGCTGTTCCTGCCTCCATTTGTTCTGTTCTGTCTGGCTCTGGGCTGATTGCTTCTACAGACACAGATTTAAAACGTCATCCTTGCATTCCTACAAGTCAGCAAGGAAGGCAGCTCCCAAATGACAAGGGAATTTTGGCAAGGCAGCCTCTCCCCACAAGGATAAGACTGAACTAGCTTGTCTTGGCTGGGCCTCATGAAATCTTTTTGTTTGCTGTGCTGCAGTTTATGAAGGTGTCACATGGTTGGATAGTTGCAAGCTAAGCCAACATCTTCCTAAAAGTAAACCTCTATCCTCTTGGCTGCTGCCACCGAGTCCTACATACCATGCTTGCTGTTGCCTTCCACAAAGTTCTTAGTGTAATTAAAATCATCAGGACTCTTGTGAAGGTATGTTTCAATATTCTCTTTCAAATACCACGATTTGTTTTCATCGAACACCATAAACAGAAGAGTAAATTCACGATCAATGTCTTTTCTCAGGCCATTTTCATCTAGAATTCCTTTTCTGCAAACTACAAGAGGGCCAATCAGACCACTATATGTGTCCTGAAATGAAATAAAAATGTGTTACAGGTTTTCTAGTTCATCCAGTTATGAAATAAACACAAATAGGCAACACATTAAATAAAGATAGAATATCTGAGGAAAAAAGTGAGAAAAAAATCATGACTACATCTGCTTAAGCATGCCTTTCTTCTTACATTATAGTCCCAAGTTTTGAAGTGCCATCACCCCAAATCCCTTCAACTATTCTTTAAGGAGGGAATCACATTACCACAGTGTATCCCTGAGGATTTCAGTAGATTAAAATAACCAAGACACATGCAGCTGTTAGCAAAGATGACAAAGCATCCAGCTCAGTAAACCTTTCCTCCAACTTGTGCTCCTTGTGGAAACATCTTGCAAGATGGGATACTCCATCTAAAACAACTAACTGTAATAATAATAACCGTCTTGGTTACCTTTACAAAGTTTGCTGTTGAATAGTAAACCCAAGTGATACAGTTGGGATCTGTTTTCCCAGGGCCAGATCGCTCTGGGACATTCCATCTGTAGGTGTTTATTTCCCCTGAAACAAAGAAAAATTTTAGCAAGAACAGCTGCATGTCAGAAGCTTTGAATAGCGTGTTACTGATAGCTGTTACCCTCCCCCATCAAAAAATGATCTGCATCAAAGCTTCCTGTGAAAGCATGCAGGAATGGCATGTGCTCATGTTCCTGTATTCCAGAATGTCGGTGAGGTTCCAGTGGTGTAAAAGAAAGCAGATACCACCTCCAAAAGGAGATCTGCAAATGGTGCTGGAAGCAGTAACACCCCACAGAGGGAATCTGTTCAGAGATTCAACTTCTCAGCCTTACTTCTCAGACTTCACCCTGGGCAAATTGGTAGATAAATGGTCTTGGAGGCCAATGCTTTAGGTCTGTTGAAATTGTAGGGAGCCAGGCTCCAGAAAATATTTCCTGGACTTTCTCAGTTGAAAGGGGCACCACAACATGGCCATTGCCAGCAGGACTTTGGAGAAGATGCTGCAGCACTATATTGGCTCTTGTCTGTGAAAGGAGAGCTGATTAAATATCAGAACTGCTGCTGACTGGGAATGCCAGGAAGGGCGGAAGGGCCCTTCCCTCTTCCCACTAAGCCACTGTTCCTCTGCAGTTGCTGAAGAGCCCCTGTTCCTTCCCCAGATCCATCACCTCTCTCACGTCCTTCCTGAGGGTGAGCAGAGATTCACTGATCTCTCACTCTTAAAACAATCTGATGAGGAAATGACTTGTTTGGATGAGGCTCAGTTCTCTGCATTGAACACAAACGTGTCTGTATTCAGATGAACTGACTATGTTATGTGTTCCCATTTGCTGGGAATTTATTTTTTTTCTGGTGCTCCAGCAAATAAAGGTCAGAAGGACAAGAAGTGGTCAACACCTTGTCCTTCTAAGTGCCAGACAAATGCTGAACAATTTATTTCCTAGAAGTTTCCAGGGCAACAAAACCTGAGAAAAAAACTGGCAACACAGAATCCTAGAATCACCAAGGTTGGAAAAGACTTCCAAGATCATCCAGTCCAACCGTCCACCTATCATCAATAGTTCTCACTAAACCATGTCCTTCAACATGCTACAAGCCAGGGTAAAACAAAGAAATCCTGGAACTGTTGACCATTGCCTTGGTACAGCCACAACCCAACAGCTGCCAAGGCTGTGGGCACTGGACCAAAGAGAGTTTTCAAGCTTAAATGGTCATGAATTGAGTGGACTAGCTTTCTGTCACAGAGCCACTGCACTGTTTTGGTGGTTCAGGGACATGGTTTAGCAGAGGGTTATTAGGGTGGTATGGTTAGACTGCAGTTGGACTTGATGATCTTTAAGGTCTTTTCCAACGTGAGCAATTCTATGATTCTGTGATTATGATTCATGCAATAGTGGCTGCTACCATATGCAATAACTGAGGACTCAAATAGCACTGTATATAGGATGGGTCTATACAGGATGGTCTCACAATGTAAATTAAGCAATATCATTTATTCTTATAGCAGAAGAACCTTTTGTGCATTACAGCACAGGCTTATTGACCTAGCAGAGAACAAAAAGGCTTTCAAGATGTACCACTACACTAACAGGACTGAAAACTAACAAGAAGTTCATCAGTCTCAGAGCCATTCAGCCATTCTTGCCATGGGGGCATACATCACTTCTGTAAGTGGGAGTGATGACTTGTTTGGCTTAAATAGGACTGGATGGGCTCTGGGTAGCTTAGGGTGAGCAGCCAGCCAGGACCTCTAGGTGCAGGTGGGGGTGCTGAACAACCTAGGAATTATTCGGGCTTTGAGACATTTGTTCTCCTTGTTAACTGCTGCTTGCAAAAGCCTGAGGAAAAGCCTGCCCTGCAGTCTGGCTGACAGTACTCCTTTTGCAGACACCTTCCCTAAACCATCCCAAGCCTGCTCCCATGTGGATACGGGAGATATTACAGCAATGTGCACAGCACGCCTCCACTCAACAAACCCGGTGAGCAGAAAGAGGCAGGGCTAAATACTCCAACTGCAACTGTACCCCCGAGTTTCTCCATTTCTGAAACATTTTTAGAGCATCGCCCTGGCACTGACCACTTTTAGGCTTCCCTGACCGTGACTACGGGCTTTCTAATGCATTTTGGAAATTGCCAAGGGAAACTACATCCCTGTTTCTACCCTGATAGGAGCAAAAGCTCATTTTGTGCCTGAACGTGCTCACTTGATCAAGAACCTACACACACAACAACACAGAGAATTGCATCTGAATAAAGGCTAAGCATACTTTGCCTGGAAGAACACATAAGTGTGAATAAGCTTGAAGGAGGGAATATCATTCATATGTTAACATTTTTTTTATATATGGCCTTTGTAGCTGAAAGAAAAACAAAAAGCACAGCCTTACCTGGGAGAGTGATTGGTGCCTCGGTTTGTTCCTCACAACCCACTTCTTCTACTCCATGTGCACTTACTGAATAAGGCCTGCTGGCTTTGTTCTTAAACACAATCAGCACCGAGTCACCCACCTCGGCATGAAGCAATGGCCCTAAATGGAAACAGAAGACGCCAGTGATTAATGCTTCTTTTCTGAATTGTAACCATCTTCCAGTAGCTCGGCCTTGGAAAGGAGCCTTGGTCTGTCCTGAAGCCCTCAGGTTCTTCTGTTCTTCCCATGAAGCCATCAAAACCGGTCTGTTATCTCTGCCACTGCAAAATTCCATATATAGACATTATTTCTTTTTTCTTTATAGACAGTAAGAGAGGAACAGGTCTCTGAGCAGCCTGTTTTTCAGGAAAACCTTTGTGGATAGTTTTCAGTAGCTTTTGACAGGTGTTTATCTAATATCAAACTATTTCTTCAGTTTCGCTCTTCAAAAATAAAAAGGAAATGTCAAATATATTCCTATGTAGAAGTAGCATTTATATGGAGTTGACTATTCTATGATTGGTTGTTGCCCACTTCTCATCCCATAGAAAAAAATGAGCTGGTGGTTGTTTTATGACATATATAAAACTTTATCTTGCCCAGTTCCAGATACAAATCTGTCCCCTTGTTGAATTATCTACCTACAACGCTTTCCCCATATTGCATGCTCTGATGTTAGGGTGCATCCTGTAAGGTCCATTTTCGCATCTTCCCTGTTAAGATTCTTTCAGAAACTCTGTACTTCATATCTGAGAATAAATCATCCAACTGAAAGCATTCTTACACTCAGCATTTATGCAAGCTTGATGTAAAATCACCAATAGCCAGGAATAGGCATCAGTGTTATCTCTTTTCCATGTTAACAAAGCTGGAAAAACTCTTTGTTTCTAAGCTACCCTCTCACTTATCATGTCATGAGTCTATGAGCCATGAGTCTATGAGCCATGAGAGCTACTTGCCCAGGATTTCCAAGTGCTCCTCCTCTTCTGTCCTCTCTTTGCGCTGCGTAAAGTTGCCGTTTGTGTACTCCCTGTAAACCACTTTCTTGTATTTTGTACCAATTAGATCTTCCCCTTGGCTGAGAAAAATGTGCCCGTAGCTGCAAAATAAAAGGGGGAAAATTTAAAGCACAAAGCTTACCTGTCTAAATGCTCATTATAGTTGTGTTATACATTATAGATGCGACAGGAATGTATGGCTTGGTCCAACGTGATGATTTACACAAAGCCCTGTGTGCTGTAGGAGCTTTTAAACAGCAAGTAACAACAGTGATAATCCTCCCTAAATGCACGCTGTCTTCAAAGCCAGGGACATACTGCACTCACACAAATATCTGGGAACACAAATCCTTCAGAACAGCCAAGAGAACAGCTTCAAGCTGTGGGTGGCTTTGGTCACTCACCCCAGTGCATCCATACCCCAACAAGAGACACTGTCTTTCCCAGCAGACCTGAATCATGGAATGGCTTGGGTTGGAAGGGACCCCAAGGATCACCAAATTCCAGCTCCCTGCCACAGGCAGTGTTGCCAGCCACTAGATCAAGTTCTAGATCACATTGCCCTGGGCCCCAACCAACCTGGCCATGAGCACCTCCAGGGATCCACCACTGGGCAACCTGTTCAGCATCTCACCACTCCCAGTAAAAACTTCCCCCTGACATCTCACCTAATTCTCCCCACCTTTAGTTTTGAACTGTTCCTTCTTGTCCTATCACTATGTAAGTTGATTTCCCTCAAGTTTATAAGCTCCCTTTAAATAATGGAAGGCATGTTATCACAATGCCTTCTTTCACTATTTTTGATATGGGTGATATCAGGGAATGTTAGGAAGATAATCACAGTCTAACCTTGCGAGAGCAAATGCAATCACCAGAGGTAACAGAAGGCTGCTTTACCCTGGAGAAATCTCCTTTCCCCTCCCGCACCTTGCTGGAAGATGCTCTTTGTACCCCCAGCACCTGCTGCTGAGGCGTGTCCTAGCGCCGCCTGGCCGCCAGGGGGCACTGCCGAGCTGTCCTGCTTATGGCTGCTCCTCCCCGAGCTCCCCCTGGCGGCCGAGCTCCCAGCGCACTGCGTACGAGCTGAAAACGCCCAGCAGCGTGCAGTGAACAGCACCCTTTGGGCAGTAGTGGATTTAATACGCTCTTCATCACTCATAAGACTGTGCGGTAGAAGCCTTAGAAGCCTTCTGCGCGGAGCAGAATGGACAGTCCCTTACCTCGGCTGGCTGGCATTGCTGCGCCCCACACCCACCGAATTTGTTTCGCGTACCTTTCCTCGTTGCTGCTGATGTTGTAAATCTTTGGTGCTGAGCTCTTATTTGAGGCGTAGTCCCACTCCACCTCCTCCGCAGCGATGTAGTAGAGCCTGACGGCACTGCGCTGCTGCCGGGCTCGGCTGGCATTGCGGCAGCTGCTGACCTCGTAGAGGTGCTTCATCCCTCCGACAAAGTGATCGAAAGTCCTGCAAACCACTTTGAATGTGCCTGGGAAGGAAAGTTCTTGAGATGGAGGTGACTGTGAAAGCAAGTAACCTGGCACCTTGGCTCCCCTGCTTTGTTCATCTCTGGTCTGTCCTCCAAAAAAATGAACCCTAATCTGTGATGCTGTATAGAAAGCCAGGTGGTGGGCAGTTTATATCAGCCAGAGCCCATTTGCAAAACTAAGATGGCTGAAGGGGAAACTGGTTGGTAATGTGGGCAAGCATCAGTCATCTCCTTTAGTCAGCACATGGACTGTGGCCATGAGATGTCTCAGAGTGGGCACCCAGGAGTCCTACATGTACCTCACCAACCCCAATTAAGGCATGGAGGAACAGAGTGTGTGTTTCAGTTATGCATGCTCAGCTCAGCGGACCAAGATTAGAGGCATAATCCTGTCTAGTCTGGATCTCAGTCTATTCATTCCGCTTCTAGGGTAGGAGTGGGGGAAAAGGTAAAGTAACATGCTGTTAAAAAAAAATCACAGGTGGTGGTGACTGTAAAGATCTGATCATTCATTCATGTCTGCTTGTGGCCGGTACAGGGTTAGCTCTCAAAAAATAAAGGACTCCCAGACACTGTTGTTCAGTGTAATTCCTAAGGTGCAGTTTCATGATGGACAGTGGAGTGTATAGAAAACACACAAGAAAGGAACCTGCTGCCTTGTAGAGCTCTCCTCTTTGGTGTACATATACATTTCGTTTACAGCACCTTGCCAGAAAAGCAGTCCTGCCTGAATTCTCAGCTGCACTAAGTCCCCAAAGTCCAGATAGAATCACAGAATGTCTGAGGTGGGAAAGGACCTCTGTGTTCATCTGCTCCAACCCCTGCTTCAGCAGGGACACCCAGAGCAGGATGCCCAGGGCCATGTCCAGGTGGCTTTGAAAGGTCTCCTAGGAGGAAACCCCACAGCTTCTGGGCAGCCTGTGCTCTGTGCTCTGTCATCCATGCAGCACAGAATCACTTTCTGGTGTTGAGAGAGAACCAACTGTTCTCCAGTTTGTGCCCATTGCCTCTTGTCCTGGCACTGAGCACCACTGACAAGAGCCTGGCTCCATCTTCACTGCCTATCCCCACTCTCCCTCCCTCACACTTCCCATCTCTCTGGTTGCTATTTAGGCTGCCTGATTTCTGTGAGTGCCAGAACACCAAGATAAGCAGAGGAACATACCCACACGGTCTGGCTGCATCAGTGCTGTCCCTGATAAATGAGGAAACAAGGCCAGGCCATCCCTCGTTGTCCCTCTTAGGTCGATATTGTTTCCTTGAAACTGAACTCCGTGCATGTCATAGTGACTTCCCAGTCCGATGAGGTGCCAGGAGACCTTGTCATCCTTGCACATGGCCAAGCCTGGCAGGTTACCAAACAAGTAACCATTGATGGCTAGAGGAGAAGGAAAGAGCCTGGTTAGTGGCTCAGCACAGAGCCTCCCATCACCTCTGTGGCAAGAAGCTTGCAACTGAGCAAGTCATAACATTAATTAAAGGAGCATTCTGTGAAGCAAAGGTAGCAGCAGATGACACCATGTTAATACTTAAATGCTGTTCTTACAAGCTCTTAACTCCTACATTTCTCTTAACCTATAAAATCTTGTAATAATCCTTTGCAGGGGTTTAAAGATTCTCCTCCAAACCTTCCGCAGTGCTTCACAGTTGCTGGTTAAATATATAAATTAGGTGGCTCCTTTTCAGTCTGAAGAAAGTATAACCAGATAATCACGGACATGGAGTGGGACATAAAAAAATTCAGTTCTGATGCAGCTTTCCTGTGTGATACTGACTTCTGATTTCCACCTTTACTCCCAAAATGCCTCTATTTAAAATTTCATCATGAGATGCCACCTCATAATAGACAAATAAAATAGAAGGCTCCAGAAAGTCTAGAGGTGAGTTTACAGTAAATGCATTCAAAGAGGAGCAGTCACTGCAGGGTGACATTTCACTCAGTAGTTAACTGTTCACTATCAGTACATGTTCTCAATGCTCTCAGTACAACCAAATCACGGGTTGGGTGAGTTGCTCAAGTCTGTCATGTCAGGAATAATGTTGAGGATATCTGTGCCAAAGTCAGGCATTTATATACAGAAGTGATGTTTTAAACCGACTGGACATTTCCTTAGTCTTCATCCCTCCTTTGCTGGAGTGGTCACTGCCCAAGTGGATCTGGCAGAGCAGAGAGGATGAACCTTCATTGCTGGAGTCAGTGCCAAGCCCTGTAGCTACACTGGAATCACCAGTGAACATCAGCTGTTTCTGCAGCTGATGTGTGACTCTGGCATGATACCTTCTTACAGACCCAAGGCTACACTTCATTCTCTTTCTCCAGCTGTAGTTGATAGGTGGTTGCAGTCCTTGTTAATATGACAAGGATTCAACATTCAAAGGACATCAGGAACCAGCCATATCCTGACTGACAACTTCCCACCTCACCCTGCAAGGCACTGCAGTCACCTATGAATGAGGATAAATTTTGCCATTGATGACTGAAGAAAAGATATCATTAACAGATATATTTCATACCATGCATTTTGTTGGATTCCTTGAAATCTGCATCATTTTCATCTACTTTTGAAGGGTCTCCTGTAAAAGCTTCAATATTCTTGTTCAGATACCAGCTGTCATTTTCATCAAAGATTGAAAAGAGGAGGTAGAATTCTCTGTCTATTCCTTTCTGTAGCCAAGAAGAAAGCCAACACACTAAAATGAGTCTGCAAAGAATTATCCTAGTGAAAAATTATCTTTTTTTTTATAACAACAACAAAATATATATATATATATAAAGCTGCAACTGCTTTCTTACTATGTTCTTTTAGAGGATTTGGATTGGCACTCTTCCATAAGCCAAAAGAAAAAAGAAATCTAGAGAGGATGGAAAGATGCAGTCATTGCTAATGAATGCATGGAAAAGATGGAAAACCAAGGGAGTGGTTCCCCCTGAGTGCTGGGGAATACCAGTTTCGCCTTCCTATCCACCCCGTAGGTCAGCTTTTACCCTGAGAATGACATTTCTTCAAACTCTTAAATTTGAGCTGGGAACAGTGAAAATCCATTCTCCCCACAGCCCACCACCCTGCTGTTTCGGAGAAGCCATTCTCCACTTTGAGCACCTGCATCCCATCCTCATTCAGTGAGTTCTTCCGACAGACCAGCAAAGGCCCCACCAGGCCAGAGTTGGTGTCCTTGACAGCGTCAGTGGCTGAGTAGTACAGGTAGGTGAGGCATGGTGGGTCACTCTCACTCGGACCTCCATTTTCAGGCACTCTCCACTTGTACGTGAAGGTTTCACCTGGCTTAACGTGGGCTCCTGGTTTCATATATCCTGTAGAGAGAAAGTAGAGAAAGACAAAAGTTATTGGAAGGTTATGTCCTCCAGAATACAGCTGTTGGATGGGAGTCAGGCATAGCCTCTGGTTTCTACAGACAGGTTCAAGCACCATCCTATAGACTGGTGACTTCTACCATAGGGACATCTCCCAGAGCCCTGTGCCATGGGGATACATGGAGCCACTCCTCGCAGAACAAGTTTGACACAGACACTGACATAAAGCTATTTGAATTATCTGGATTTGGTGAGACTAAACATGCAGAGCTCATCTTTTCTTTTAATTGGCTTCCTCTAATGTCTGTAGCTTACCTGCCCTATCGTGAGATTCATCTGAGGTGCAACCGCAGACTCTGAATTCTCATTAAGCACCAACAAAGCAATTACATCAGCAAGTGGAGCTAAAGCTGTGACTGCTTAGAAAATCAAAGCAAATCCTATAATTGTTTCTTTTTGATTTTGCAGCAATGCACAGGAAGCTCTGTCAGAGTCTCCAAAGAGAGGTTGGTGTTACTTTTTTCAGAAGTTAATTCTGGCGATTGTCTGTTGTCCTGTATCCTATCCATAGGGTGGATGGAGCATCACTCAAGCAGTGTAGCCACATTAAGAGAGAGCTGATATCCACACAGAGAGCATTGTTATGAAGAAATAAATCTGGCATCAAATCTTCCTCTCCAAAGACCCAGAGGTGAACCAGTCACACTACTGCTTCATGGTCAGATTTGGTTTCATTCTGCTCCACACCAAAGGGTGCAATGCCAATGGATGCTGTTAACACAGGGTTTAAACAGAAGCACAACAGGACTACAAGGAGAGAGAAGAAGCTGCCTTTCCATTAGGGAACTATATCTGGTGTGGGTGGTATTAGAATACAGTGACTTCAGGGCTGAAATCAGCCTAGATATTTTAGGATATACATCAGAGCCTGCTAGAAAATGGGCTGTGTTGCACAGTCAACAACTGGAGACAAAAGAATTAGATTCAAGCCTTTTGTGTGATTTTATGACTTTATGTGTTGACCTAATTCCCTTAGCACAGTTCTCCAAAGAAGGATTATATCGTGGGAGTTTCTTTTTGATGTGTTGTGGTGGAAGCAAAACAATTTAGACAACAAGAAAACTAACTTTATCTTCAATGCTGCAAATGAGCAAACACATTTCCACCATATTATCTCTGTAGGTGCTATGGTTGGGATTCAACTCATCTAACACGAGCTCTCTAAATCTTGGATATGTTGTCCTTTTGTAGTCAGCAGAGACAGACATCTGCAGGGGTGACCTACTGTCTCCTGAAATAAGTGTTCAAAGTAAATGGGACTTTGCACCTTCTGAAGGGGCTGTTTCTTGCCTCTGACTGAAGGAGTTTCCTACCAATTAGACATGACACAGCACATTTAATGGTTAAATTTCTATTATAAAGATCCTATCTTTGCACAAAATGAGAGGAAGCCTTGGTGAATGTTCTGCTCCAGTATTTATGTATTTAAGAGGATCAGTAAGAATCATTACTGCTTCACATTCTGGGTCAGTCAGATAAAAGATGCCTGGATGTTGACTATCCTGGGAATGAAGAAACTAAAATACCTGACCTGGGTTAGAAGATCAGACGTGAAGCAGTTCAGACCTGTGGATAGCTATATGCAAAAACTCTGCAAGATCATCATGGCATCATCATGCCAGATCCTATGCAATACTGTTTTGGAGCATGCCCAGAGTACAGCAACTAGCTGGGGATGTATACTGTTAGATCAGAAATAATGTGAATTGGACTGGGCTTCTGGCTTGTACTCGGTGTTAATGGATGGACCTCAGCTAATTTCAGCCACCTTGCTGGGCACACGTCCAAGGGAAAGAACCAGAACAGAGGCAGACGAGGGGGTTCCTTGTGGCATTTAGGGAAGACACGAACTAACCAAATCATCCCTTCTATGCCTTACTATCCACAAAAAGGGCAAAGCTACAGAGCAACAGAAGATCTGTAGATTCATGCATTCTGGATGCGACAATGCCACGTTGCAGTAAAAACTTACCATCTAAGTAGGGTGCACCTTCTGACAGTTTGCTGAAGCTCACACCGTGGGCCATGATGCTATAGCTCCTTCTGGCTTTGTTGGCAAAAGTAACTAGCACTGTATCTCCCACTTCAGCTTTTATAACGGGGCCTTAAAGAGAGAGGGTAAGGGAAGGTATTAGAAGAACTGCCAACAAATGTATTTCCATCTAAACAAGACGAAGCTGGCTGGCAGCTGAATCCATTAATTTCCCCTCTGGATCCAAGGGGACATCTGCTTTCAAATCCAATGGAATTGCAGGATGGGAAAATATTCACTGTACCAAGTATTCCCAGGTGTTTCATGTTCTCTGGCTGAGTCTTCCTTTTACTGAATGTTGCGTCGGTATATTCCACATAGCGAACCTTCCAGTACAGCCCTCCTATTCTGTCAATCCCTTGTGTAAAATATATTGCAGATTCACTGTGGAATTAACAAATTGAACTGGTTAATTAACTGGACGTTCAGGCAGAAACCTTAATTCAGGATAAAGGTATCACCCCAGCCATGGGAGACATGATCTCCCAAGTCATTAGTTTGCATACACTTTTTCCAGTTCTCTAGAGGAGATGTTACTGACCTGAATTACAGCTATATATTAGTTAACAAATGGGCATTCACTCTGCATTAGACTTCAGGGTGTTCAACTTAGGACAAGTGCCATGTCAACTTACCTCTAACTACCTTAGGGCAAGACCTGTGCCATTGCTTGTTCTCAGTGGGTTTCTAATCTTTAGTTTTCCTGGGCTGCAATACAATTCATCTCCATCAGCAATCCCGAGGAGGTTATCTGCCATTATGGCACCCTGTGATACACTCATTTCAAATGTGAAAGCTGCCTGAGGAATCTCAACATAAGGGCTTGCTTACATCACCAGGGCTCACTTTCTCCACAGACATAATTGCGGAGAGAGATAAGTGCTTCCAGAAGGCAACTACTAAGCATCGCAGTTACAGATCCAATTTCTCAACAAGGATGTTTAAATCCTCCCTGCCCTATGCAATTAAAATTAATAACAGTGCAGGCCCTAGCCCTGGTGAATCACAGCGGGATGTCATCCAACTCTTGAAATAAAAGCATGGCAGGAGAAGATGAGAAAGCTTACCTGCCAGTGGCATTTAAGCCCTGCCCAGTGAATTTATCATAACCGTCAGGTCCGTAATTCCAGAGCACTTCTTCAGCAGCAATATAGTATCTTCTTTTGTGACTGAGTGGTGAAGGTCGAGACAGGTTTTTTTGGCAGACCTGTACATCATACAGTGCCTCCATGCCACCTGGGAGGAAAAAGAATCTGGAGACAGTCCTTGGCCAGCTGCGCAGGCAGTAATCTCATGGATACAGATGCACATTCAGAACCCTCTAGGCAGGAGCTACACGGGTTGGAAAACGTGACTAGGATCATTTGTGTAAATTTCTATTTCGAGACACTTCCTCCTTCTACAAGGGTCTAGATGCTAGCATGCTTCTATTGCAAGCAGTGCATCATCCCACTGGTGAAAACTGCTGAAACCTATGATGCACTTTCGTGGGTTTATTTACTCAATTCCCCAATCTGGGTAAGGATGCAAGGGGATTCTGGGGACTGCAGTGCCTGCTGAAATGTCAACGTGGTATCACCTTGTCTGGACTTCCATTGAAAAAACTGGTTCATTACAGCACTGAAGATGTTTGTTGTTTGCCAAAATCAAGTCTCTTTGCATAATATAAATCCCACTGAATGCAATGTGTAAGTTCTTAAACGTAAAAATGATCACAACTCGTGACTGTCTCTGATATCATAATTACACATTGCCTGCTGCTGCCAACCTAGTTTATGCTTTCAGGCTCTTGCACCATACAAATACATCATCATTATCATCATTAAATTGCTTCACGTAAAGGTTTCTTACCAATCCATATTTACAACTTTGGCCCAACATATATAATTTACCCTGGAAACTGAACTCATGATATATTTGTGGTGAAGTACTTCTGAAAGTGCCAGATAGTCAGAAATGTCAAATCTCACTTCCAATGGAAACATCTCTGCCTTCTTTTTCTAGAGCAACAGAGGCTGAAATTTCTGTATCTGAAAAGATCAGGGATATCAGTCACACCATACCTCGTAAATGCTCGTTAACTTGGCACGTTATCAGCCACCTCCCGGGGTTCCCAGGAGTCATCTCTGCTGTGATGAACGTTGCTGCAAACAGACCGACGACATCTGCCCTCTGGTCTCTGTTAGTGAACGTGTGGCCATAGAAATACGCAGCGTGGATATCTATTTCACTTCCCATGCCAAACAAGTGCCAGGACATGGGAGTGTCAGCACACATCTCCAAGCCAGGGAGATTTCCATAAATATAACCATTAATAGCTAAAAACAAAAGTAGAAGATTTTATGAGAGGGAAAAGAGAAGTGCCAAATGCATCTGACTTCATTTCTAAAGGCAATTCTTTCCTGACCCAGAAAAGAAACTACCGATACCCACACTCGTTCCCTAGCTGAATAAAATATTCACAGGCTCCCAGATGAATGATGCATTTTTGAACAGCCAGCTTACAGCTCTGGATGATCAATCTGCCCAAATTCACTGGTTGGATCTATGAAAAACTTCCTGGGTCATATCAAGATATTACAAAGGCTCAGTCAGCATCAAGAAGGCCTGATAATGAAGTTAATTTGTTCTGCAGGCACTTAAGATGTCTGGAATCTATTCTCTTTAATTCTGAGTCACAAGTACACTGCTGTACATCCGGCTCAGGCAACATAAATTAAAAAATCATCTTATCAGACAAATCAGTTCAGTCAGCCTTGTCTTCTTGAGCTTCCACACCTGACAACGTATCAGGACATTAGAAGAATGAGATTCACATTTTGCAAAATACTTTAGCTCCTAGGTTCCATGGAATGACCGATTTAGCTTCTTAGCCCAAATCTCCAAATAGCACAAAGTACTCTTACTGAACTCCGAAGGGCAGAAATAGCAGTACCAGCCAGCCCACCAGTCTTGAGGCCTTTTGAGAGCCAGAATTGTTGGACTCTTCCAACACACACATCTCAAAGTGCTCTTCAGCCTTCTTTTCTCTTTTCACAGCTCATTAATTTTACATCTGTTGCCCTAGGTAACATGCTAAACAAGTGGCAGAGCTGGATATGAAAGCCAAATCTCCTTACCATGTTGTGCTATGTTTAGGGAAAGGCTTTTATCAACACAGTACTTCAACATCTCAATCCGTTTCATACTGACACAGAAAAGGGAGAGGCATCACAAGGGACAGAAAGTCCTAGTGATATGAAGAGCCTGATTACTGCTATAAGTCACCATTTGCTCAAGAGTCCTGCTCACCATGCATTCGGTTGCTGGTCTGGAAACCTTCATCCTCTTTGTTAACTGTGGCTGGTTCTAAGCAGAAGGTATTTATATTCTCATCGAGGTACCAGCTGACATTTTCATCTATAATGCTAAACATCAGGGCAAAAGCATTAGCAGCACCAGTCCTTTCTATTGAGGTCTCATCTGCAGTTCCTAAATCGCAAACGAAAAGAAGAGTGCTAAAAAAAGACTTGGAGGGGATTGAATTTTAAAATGACAGTAGCTTTGGAGCATTCAAGGAAATACAGCAGTCTGCCCATGGTCAGGTTGAATCACCTGACTTTACCCTTTCAAGACACCTTAGTTCCACCTCCCAAACCTTTGAGTAGATGGGTGCATCCAGTAGGCAGCTTACCTCATCTAAGTCATATCGAGCTGCTATTTAATGAGCTTGACACAAGCACAAGTAGCTGCCAAAAGCTGTGGTGCCCGTTTCCCTATCTTTGTGCTACTGCTTCCAACCCTGCCCCTTAGTATTACCATCTGTGTGCCAATGCAGTAAGGCAGATCAGAAAGACTAACCCAGCTGGTCAGAAATTAAGGAGAGGCAAGTGATGGCCTGCATTCCTGTTGCATTGAAGCAGCCTGTGAGGTGTGCCCTCAAAACAGCTAAGCATATGTGGCTCACTCTCCATGGAGTAGCAAGGAATGCTAGACAGTTAACTAGGACTAAATATTTACATTTTAATAGTTTTAAGATGGGAAGAGTACAATCTATTCAGGCTAAGCTGAGAATCGCTATCTGAGGGACCACAGGAGCAACAACACTGAGTAGCTTATTATTAACCACTGACAGATTCATATTTCATCTACTTCTCCTGCCTGTCTCTGAATCCCTGAATACTTTTTGCTTCCCCAGTGTTGCCTGGGATGGGACCCCAGAGCCTCCCAATCCACCCATCACCATCAGAGGGAAGAGAACTGAGGCAGTGGCATGATGTAGATATCCACCTTGACAAAGTCAAGACTGAACATGCAGATAAGCCAGGCTCTCAGGCTGGGATTGTTTTGAGCATGTTATCTCCCAGCTTCATGTATTATCCTACAGTCTTTGGATCAGTTTCACCTATTCAGGAAGTGCTGTACATTCCCCAGGATAAAAAAAAATCTGAGACATTTCATTGTCAATTATTGGGAAATCAAGTCTGTCCTCTCCACATTTAAGCCTTTTTCTGGACATATAACCATTGTTTCTGGTATATGTTCTGTACTTTTATAAAATTAGAGCTGGTTTTGTACTACAGGAGATACTGGAAAGGTGGAAAATTTACATGTGTCCCAAATGGAGAAGGGACAATTGCTCACCTGACAGAGTTAGTACACGGCTATTGCAATACAGTACAAGGGACAGGTGTCCCCTCAGCTGTTTAGGGCACATTCCCACGTGGCTGTGATATAAAACCAATATGCAAAACTCCATAAGAAAAAAAAAATGACAAGGAACATTGGGGTTTCAAGTATGTAAACGCCAATGTTGAAGCCACCCACCCAAATCTAATTTCACTTCCTGGGCCAGGAGTCTTTTGATTATCCTGAAATGATCCCAGTTTGGTGTCAGTCATGAGCAGCTGGCCACAGAGCATGCTGTAGTACCTTCACCAGCTGAGGGAAATCTCTTGTGAAACTAAAGGGAAGCAGAAGGGGATTGTCCCAGAGCCATACCTACCCTGGGATGCTCCTGGAATGGCCCAGCTATTCCTTGCCCCTTTTTATGGGCTATGTAGGGATAGATTCTAGACCATCATGTTTATACCTGTAAGCAAAAATGACTGTTAAGATGCCAAGCTTGGCAGAGGGGCTTGCTTTATCAGTGTTTCTAGCTCAGTACCTTTTTTACAAACCAGCAGTGGCCCAATTAAACCAGATGCAATATCTCTTGGGGTGTCAATGTGAGAATGGTAAATCCAAGTCAAGCAGTTTGAGTCTGCCAAAGCTGGGGAATAACTTTTCCTTACTGGCCATGTGTAGGTGTAATTTCCACCAGGAACAACAAAATCATCCTCTTTGCTTTTACCACCAGTTCCATCAGGGTAAAGTGCTCCTAATAAATTTAAAAAGAGAGAAAGAAAGTTCTTAGCCTCACCTTAGCTGTTCTCCTTCAATAAATGTGTAATTTCTTTTTTTTTATCACAGCTTTCAAAGACAAGAACTGCACTCACAAACTAAGAATCACTAAAAAACTGTGAAAATTTTCAGATGTTCTGGTAAAAAAGCCAAAACATGTTGACAGTTAAAATCAGTTACTTGTCAGTAGATGAAACTTTATAGTTTATTTAAGACACTTTAGTTCTTCTGTTTCTCTTTACTTTTATCAAAGATATAGACATTTTGTTTGTTAACACTGTGTATCTTCTCACGGAATACTGGTGAGAGCAACAAGTATGGGCAAGTCATGGAATTGTTAAGGTTGGAAAGACTGCTAAGATCATCTGGTCCAGCCATCAGCCCATGCCTGTGACAGCTCTAGAACATGTCACTCAGTTATCTTTTTTCTTGGAAACCTCCAGGGATGGTGACTCCACCACCTCCACCACTTACACATACGTAAGTTTTGGATTCTGAAAATGAAATCATGCATGTTACAAGCCTACAAAGAGTAAAAACATTTACTTACAAGAACTTTATCAATTGAAACAGGCTAGAAGTAGAAAGAAGGAGGGAAAATACTTCAGTGACTAATAATTTGGGAAAATAATTCAGGAAAAAAGACCCACCCAACCTGTTTCAGTGCTGGATTTATCCCGGGCATCAAAGGTTTGTGGCCAAAAGTTTTAAGAAATTAGTATGTTCCTGGTTTTAGTCATCAGTTGCAACCACCAATGAGTTTATGAGAGGATGTTCTAAAGTCCTCTGATGTCAATGGCCAGAACAATAAGTACTTGGACATTCACTACTCCAGGGGAAATGGAGAAGAAGAGAGAAAGGCGCAAACCAGCTTTTACCTTCAGAGTCCTTGTCGTAGAAGACCCCATGTGGATGCACTGAGTATGGACGGGAAGCAAAGTTTTTTAAATGGACGATAAAGACATCCTCTTCTTCTGCCTTCAGGACTGGCCCAAGGAACCCCAGCCAGGCCGCCTTGGGGATTTCCTGGGAGTATGTGTCATCTGTGTATTGCCTAAACATAGCCTTTTTGTACACACGCCCTATCCGGTTGGCTCCTCTTGTTGCGTACACACTTGCAAACCTAATGTTGAGAAGGGAAAATAATTCAGAGACAAAAACTCATTGGAGAGTTGATCAACTGATGCTTACAGTGCAGATGACTGGTTCCCTGAGGCATATCACACAGACTGACATGTGAGGAGTCAATCTGGACAACGCTATTGGCGCCCATTCCCCTTTCTGTTCAGTAACAACTATCCACAGATCTGGTCTTTGGTGCAAGTGCTACAACTCCTTCCTTGAGAACCAGGCAATCAGGCCCTTCTGTGCAGTTTTAGCACCTTCTCCCTCTTTCAAGAGGGTGAAAACTCACATCTAAATGCTTGACAATTCAGAAGGAGAGGAAAACCAAATTCTTTAAAGGTTTCTCTAAAGCCAGTAAGAGTGATTGTAAATGATTAGTTTGGCAACCCAGAAGAGTAGCGTATTTTTGCATGAAATTAATAATTTCTACATTCCAGAACCTATATCTTCTAGCAACTTCAAGTGATGGACAGCACATCTTGTGGTCAGTGGTTGGCTGTTAAATTCCTACTCCCTTTAATTCCTGAAATGCATTTGCAATCTAAAATCATCCAGCACCACGTTCCCACTGGTTCCCATCGTGCCCTTCCTCACATCAAAGAGGCCACACACCATCAGGAATTTCTTTTCTATGCAGGCACTTGCACAAGTTTTAATTAATTGATTAAATTGCCTCCTACCTTTCCTCTGGACAAAACAAATGCACTGACATTCTTTATGCCACAAGTTTTCCCTGACCCTCTTTTCTGAAAGCTTTCCAATATTTCTCTTTCCCTTTTGAAGTCAGAAACAAGAACTTCACATAATATACAAATAATATTCCAGCTAAAGGAGGACATACACCCAGTCAGTACTTCTTACACAACCAGAAATTGGTTTTGCTCATTTAACTGTAACTGTCAACCAATTTTAGGCTATTTGTTATGATATTTAATCTTCTTTATTTCTCTCTAGACTGCATTTAACAAGTACAGTGCACACTCTCCATGTCTAAATATCTTACACAGTGTCTGGAGGACACCTCCTTGCCACACAAACATGGCTATTATACCTCTGTGGCCACTATCTAAAGCAAATCCATGAAGCCATTCATATTTAAAGGTCTCCAAAAAGAATGCTTTTACATTTGTTTATAACATAGACTCATCAAGAGCTACTTTGGTATAAATGAAAGCACTGCCATAACACTGCTGTGTCAAAAGCAGTCGCTTAGGACAGAGGGGAAGAGACAGAAGCTTCTCAGTCTGATCCATCACTAAATAAGTTATGGTAGATATTAGTTAAGGAATGAGTTGCCAATAAGTCTGGATTTTTAGCAAATCAGCAGCTCTGCAGTAACTATCTGTGCACAGCAAGACTTGGCATGTAACCCTGTGCTCACTGAGGAGAAGATACCTTCCACTGCCTGGGGGAAGAGGTGCTACCTCAGAATAGTAGGTGGTGGTAGTAGTGCAATGTAAACACCCATGCTTTCTTTCCTCATGGCAATGTATTCCTGTGGCTAGGCCCTAATTTGAATTATAAATTGCCCTTATGGCTCTGGCTCTCTGGCCAGACAACATTGCACGCATAACTACGGACCCCTGGATACACTGCCTGCTCTGCAGAAAAACTCTACTCCAGAGAAACTGTACGCTTTTGAACAGGCATGGCCATGCTTGACATGAGCCTCATTCCTGTGAATGCATAGAACAAAGATCCCAAAACTCATTTAGGAATTTAAGTTCCAAGGAAATCACCCTGGTAAAAACCTGTAGGTTCAGGCACCAGAAATTTCCTTGGTCCTAAAGCTGCGCTACAGGACTTCTTAGATAGCATTTCTCTTGATCTGGTCTGTGCCACTTAAAGACAGCTAGGAGATGGGAAAATAAAGTCCTTTTAATGCCAGCTTTCTGAAAGGATATCCATTCAAATCCTCCATCCTTTCAGACCTGCCAAGCCTGCTGTCCATGTAACAATTACCAGCCAGTCACAAAGCAGGTGATGCTCTTCTGTGCTGAACATCAAGGGATAAAGCAGTCGTGGGGCCAGAAAGGGATCGCAGCGCAGATGAAGCAACCACCTGACTCTGTTTAACCATGGGTTTTAGTTAAATATTTTCCAAGAGTAAACATCAAATCAGCTCTGAGAGACAAATTCCCACACCTCAATACTCCCTAAGCTGTGGTTCCAGATTCAGGCTCATCCATAGCTCCCTTCCTTCCAGACCAACACTTTCCAGAGGGCAGAATAGTTTCCTGCTCAAAATGCCCTGATGATGCCCTGACATTTCTTGGAGTGCAGACACTTCAGCCTCACTCCTTCTACAATCCAGGAAGGGGTAGAGTCCACTTCTTCTGCTTATACAGAAACATGCATGGATTTTCAACATGTCCTTATTGTCACCCTCAACAACTTGAGAGCAGAGCACAATGGCTGTTGTGAGTTCCACTCTTAAGTATCTGGGCTTCCCCATTTCCTCCCAGAGGATTTCTGCAGTCCCCACCTCATCTTTTCAAGCAGCTGGTAGCTCTGTGTATCTTTACATGTGTTGCTGTGCTGCACAATACAATGTTTAAAATCCTTTTCAGAAAGACTGACTACACTGGAACTAATGCTATCAGCCATGAGAAGCTCATAGAAAAGATGCATGGGCGTGAGTGACTTCTCCTTTTCAACCCCATTTGACTGGAACAATTGGTCACCATCATGTGAGCACATTGTGGGGCTGATAGCTCTACACAGTGCCAGAGAGCAGCCAGAGGATGGGTCAGAGGGTGCTGGCACTGGTTTGTTCCCATGTCTTATGCTGCTCTTTCTGTTTCACCCCTGTCCCTCTTTCTTTCATCTCAGTGTTTCACAATGTCTCTGCTGTTGTTAGCACACCCTCATTCCTTCCTATTTTCAGAGTCTCTTAGAGAGATTTTCACTGCTATGGGACTTCATCTTGCATCTTTGACAACAGCATTCTCAAAGTTCATTCCCATCTCCTGATGGAGTGTGCTTCCTGGGGAAACACAGTCCCATTTCAGCCACCTAGTTAAACATCCCCCTTCGCTGTATCTCCTGTTTCATTCTTTCCCACTCACTGTCTTTCCAACATATATTATTACGGCAGCAACTTCTCCAAATGCTGTAACAGGTAAACAAATCCAAATCTCCAAAACTGCCTTCGCTTTTTACTTCAAGTGATTAAGATGTGTCTGTTCTACTTGGTACCATGTGCCAAATGTCCCCTATCTCTCATTTGTCATGCGCTTCAAGCAGATAAATCTCCCTGTTTCTTCATGACCGCCTGCTCACTAGAAATCATTTCATCTTCCTCATGGCTTCATGATATCAGTGCCCGAACCTCCTGAACGTCCTGTGTGGACTTCTCTTGTTTCTGCATCTGATTTCAATTTGCCAGTTGACCATTCCCAGCCATTCTTAAGCTCCAAGAAAAGAGGGCAGTGCACATGAGAGGGACAGGGAGTTATTAATAGGCAATGAACTCTCATTCTTTTACATGAATATTAATGTAATTATAGTAAGCCATTCCTCTGCAGAGATGAGTATTGCATCTCTTCCAAACAAGAGTGTCGTGTAGACTCAACTTCAATGAATTCAAGATGAGACATACAGATAATCTGCCATCTCAAGCAAAGACCGTGAGCTAAGTGTAGTTTCCACACCTATTTGTTTTATCACACAAAAAATGCATTTTATCTTATTTATGTTACCTTCGATCTTTAGCAATAAGGTGCTTCTGTACAGTAAGAGAGCTGCACACTGTGCGCAGTAGAACAAATGGTACAGTGCATGGAGTCAGATTCCTCGCTGATACAGTTCTGAAGCCTGCTGAGTTGGTTTGTCGCTTTAATCCCCGCTGAAAACACTTCAAACAGCTGCCAGATGCAGAGCCTTGAGTTTTCTCCCACTGTTAACATGCCCAATAGCTGATGCATGCTCCTAGGTACGACCGTGGGTAAATACGAACTTTCTTTTCTGGTTATTATTCCACTGAAGTCCCATAGGTTTTGCACTGGCAATACAAACTTTTTCCCTAAAATCCACTGCTGATGAAACTTTTTTCTCTGTTGTCTTCACATAAACTCTACCACGGGGTTTATAAGAGATCTTTTCTCTGAAATCCCCCCGCTTTCCGAGGGATGGAGTTGGTGGGGAGAGTGCCCATGGTTCCAAGCTGCCCCTGTCACGTTAACCTCTGGATGGTGCCTTCTGTTCAGCACAACCCTCTGCCAGCCAAGTTCAAGATCTATGCCATGGGGGTGGCTGGTCGAGGGGTTCAGTGCTACCTGCTACCATTTGTTGATGGTGTCCTGATCACACAGCATCAAAAAGCAGGATGAACTGTGTGTCCTCAAACAACAGAGAAACTTTGTGCTCAAGTGACATCTGAGACCTTAGCTGAGACCCACAATTGCAGCTGGCGAGGTCAATAAAGCCCCAAAACCTTCAATGAAGCTCTGAAGTGTCATTGGTTAACTATGGCTATAATGGTTAGGATGATCTCTTCCTTCCACTGGATTCAGTGATGAAACTCCCCCTAGACTTCACTAGAACCAGGATTTCATCTTTAATACCCTTTGGATGTTGACTCTTCCCACAGAGATCTTTTCTGCTGATGCAACTGGGTCATTTGGCCACATAATGACTCAGCCATGAGTTTAGCACCTGTGACGGCAGTTTTACTGTCATCCTCTGGGTGGGATCTCCTCACAGGCAAGTTACACAAACTGTGTTTGACATTGTGGTAACAAAAAATACCCGTTAGTGCTGGTGGGTGCATGACTTAACCCAGATAAATGCAGGCTTGGTGGCCTAAGGAAAGGGATGAGTGGTTACATCAGACAAAACTTAATGACCTCTATCACCAGCAGAACAAGATTTAAGTGCCTATCGTATAAACTAGCACCAAATTAATTTAAGAGAGGTTATCAACCAAACTTTGATCCTGAGGGCTGAGCCATAGCAGGGAGGGAAAGACTAATGTAAGTCAAACCACATCATCCTGTTGCATTTTTCTTTTGAAAAGGGAGCAGGCAATATCTGAACTTGCCTTCCCACTGCAGCGATATCCATATCCTAACCCACAACATCTCACAGGGATCTGCAGCATGTCTGGCAAAACTGACAGCATCTTGCATCCTGCACGTTCTATCCACTATGGTTTAATGATGTCAGCTCTTTCACCAGTTGTATCAGGTGGGACAGGATGCTGAACACCTCAGCTCGCCCATATCCAGTGGCTGTAATTTGGATCCAGCTGTAGTTTCCAAAGTCCTGGGTGCTTCAGCAAATGTCACTTTGATGTTTGAAGGAAGAACTGAGAATGTAATGCTTTAGCCTCATTCATAACAGCCCAAATTATGAGAGCTGACAGAACAGCTTAAGGCTTCAGGTAGACTAGACAGATGGCAGAGGCAGCAGCCTCATTATTCTCTTTACACAAGAAGAACTGTTGCACAGCGAGATACACGAGCTGTGCAAGCAGCAGGCTGGCCCTTGAGCACTGCAGCAACACAGATCATCATGAAAATTAACATCCAAACAGAATAGTGACGTTAACACAGGGCTGCGTTTGGGTTAATCAGCTCTGACGAGAGGCAGCCTTTTCCTCTCACACCCAGGGAGGTGCTGATGCAGCTCCATGGCTGCTGGCTCACTCAGCACCAGCAGGAACCCAGCAGCACAGCCTTGTGCCAGATCCTACTCCCCTAATTTTTATCCCCATGCCTCAGCCACAGCAGTCTCCTTTCTTTAAAGCAACCTCATAGCTGCAAAGAACTGAAGACTGAGGGAGAACTCAGCTTTGGCATGGCAGTGTTGAAAATCATCTTTATAATCTCACTATCTGATCCAGGTAATGTGACACTCTCCATTACATGGTTGTAAACTCAGCACTTTTCTGTTAAGTTGCAAAGAATAAGTGGTTTTGATTATATCTCTGTGGGCTAGCTGGAATCAAAGGGAACATCCCTTTTTGTATATGCACCAGCACTTCTAGAGATAATCAGTTTGTCTGCAAGGTCTTCATTTGCACTCCCCTATCAATAAAACTGGGATAGTGCCCCATCAGATGGGTGCTGCAAGGATGCATCAGGAGGTGAGAAGTGCTGGGCTCAGCAAGCCTGAGTGCTGCTGTATGCAGAACACGGCTGGCTCAAAATGCATCCCTGCCTCAGTCTAGGAGCTGATCCTTAAACTTCATTAATGCAACTGTGCTTTTCTTACCACCCATAAGAACCAGTTAGTTAGCTGAAGGGTTAAGCCATTAGTATGCACCTTTAAATTCACATTAGAAGCTACCCTAAAGAATAGTCCAAAAAAACTGCTATTTGTTCACTTCTTCCACGTGTCCATGCCAACACACCACTAATCTAGAATACAGCAGCTTTATTCCTAATTTTATACAGTTTACAAAGTAAACTAGTTACAGGAATCTTTTTTTTTTGCAATAGAAGGCTTCATGTAGGGACTGCACCACAAACAATTCCCAAGCTTGGGATGCAGAGTCCACCTTAAAATCCAGATTACATTTCCTCTGTGGGTAAAGCCTTTGGAATTTGCATTCTCTAATTATTACATTACAACACTGACTGAAGACGCAAGCTATCATTTCTCCCTGTTGTGCCATGAAAAAGGCATTACATTAATGTCTCAGACTTTAAAGTAAATGTGCCACATGGTATCCAGGGATCTCAGAGCACAGACAGACTTAAAAGTACATTTTACAGAGTAGTCTTTCTGCAAAATGAGGGAGGATCTGTCAATAGCTGCCCTTCACTTAAAGCTCCTTCCTTTCCAGAGGGGAGAAAGTTTTCCTGTGACAAAAAGAGTAGGATGTGAGAAATTCCAGCATTTGACACAACTGAAGAACAACTTTTCCAGCAAAGAACATTTTAATAGGCTGGGAAAAAAGTATCACCCTGAATTCAGTCTAAAAGGGTAACAAATATTGACTTGGATGCTAACTGGGACCTCCAGTTGTTAGTAGCGTAAGACTTTGGTGGAAAATAAAACTCCTTCTTGCCTCCTTACAGTGGAAAAAATATTTACTTTACGAAATCTATACAATAGTGATTCTGAATTTGCTAGCCACTAGAGAAAAGTCCTGCTTTGCCTGGGGCTGTCAGAAAGGACATCCATGTCTAAATCATGGGACAAAATACAGTGCTTTCAGTGTGCCTACAGACCTGGTATAGACACTGGGACCTCTTCACTCACTCACAGCTCTCATCCCATTCCTAAGCTTAAACTCTGAGGAAAGATCCCAAATTGTGTTGCCAAAGATACTGATTAAATCTGAAACTATTCCCAGACACGTCTGAAGGCCACATGGCAGAAAGGCACTGAGGGTCTGTGCCATCTCCAGTTCATGCTTAAGGCAGTTCTTCTGGCACAGGAAGGATGTGCAGCCAATCCCAGCAGCGTGGCATGACAACTGATGCCTGCTTTCCTCTGAACTGAGGCACAGTTCATCACAGTGTTACCTATGCAGTCCACTTTCAGCACAGGCAGTTGCCAGGACTTCAGTGTGACCATTCACAGTTGTACGTAAATACTTGCTTAAACAGATATCCTAAATGGAGATCTTTACACCTGCACACATTGCAGGGCTGTTCAAATAATATCCTTGTATCACGTTGCAACTATTATACACATTTGAATTTTACAATGTTATATCAAACTTCCAAATTTTTCATCTCACCAAGAGCAAATTCAAAAGTGTTTGCCCACCAAACTCTCCTCTATGTCTTATTGCCAAGATACGTGCTTGACTGTGGTGAAGTTTCACTTTGGACGACATGTCCCAGAAATGTTTGCCTCTACATGAAATGCACACAGATGATTTTTTAATCCCTTTTGAACCTGTTCTAAAATCCTCTCTTGTATTGTCTAGAGTGACTGTAGGGTCTCCTCCTTTCTCCTCCTTGGAGATCTTCCAAAGCTACCTGGACATGGCCCTGGGCACCCTGCTCTGGGTGTCCCCAATGGAGCAGGGGTTGGCCAAATGGACCTGGAGGTCCCTGCCAACCTCAGCCATTCGGTGATCTTGTAACCCACCATGTGTTGACTCTCTGACGAATACCAGTTACTTAATGTCACCATCAAGTACACAAAAACTACCACGTGGCTTAATCGGCCATGATGGAAGAGAACTCTTGCCTTGAAGACAAAAACCAATAGAACACAAAATGAAAAGAAATAAAAATAGAAAAAGCACATCATACATCTTAAGACACTTACAGTGACATTAACCACGTTAGTCTATTTCATTTAGAACTGTCACTACCTCTCCAAAATGAGAGCCCCAGGTGACTTACTTGTCCTCTAAGAGGTTCTGTCCCGTGATCAGATTCTTCCCAGACGGTGCATAGTCCCAATTCTCTTCCACAATCCCGAGGTAATAGGTTCTGATTCTTGTTTCCACCACCGTGAACAGGCAGAAGAACCCAATGGTACGAAGGCAGCCACCACCCCACAAGGGAGGCATTTGTAGTGATTGCAGGCTGGCAGCAGGCAGGCAGCAGCAGGATGCACCAGGGAGAGCTCACCCCTCCCTCCTGGCTCTTGACAAGTTATAAATAAGGAATGGACAGAGCAAAGCTCCTCCTTTCCAGCAGGTTAGGACTGGGATAGGTAGAGAGCTCAGCTATGCAGAGCAGGGTTAGGGAGGAGGTTGCTGCCATAGCGGGACTCTTGCCAACCCTTTGGTGAATGCATAAATTGCTCATCTACCTGTCCAGGCTGCAGCCAGTCAGTGCTTCTTGGAAGATGCACTGTTTTTTTTGAGGGGGGACTGGGACTGGTTTTTTATCCTCCCTTTTCCAGATTGATTGGTATGGCATATTGGGATAAGGGGTTTTTGTTTGTTTGTTTGTTTGTTGTTGTTATTGTTTTTTGTCTCTTTACCATCTCTTTCAACTTCTTCTTTTCTAAAAATTTTATTATTTTTAACTCTTTAATCTGAGATTTATAAAGCTAGCATCTTGCTGCCTCCATTGGGCTTATTCAATGACATATCAACAGTTTATAATTCAGCTTTATCAGAGAGAGAAAAAGGGAATTTGCCAGTACCTCTTGCATTTCTAGGATTTTCTAACCAATTTCTTAAGATGTCACATTGTCTGGATGTCAGATTTGGGATGACCAAAAATCCCAAGGGACAAAAGAATCTTTTTACAAAGATTACTGGAAATCAGCACTTCTGTAAGGTCCTTCTGTTTGGACATTAAGAATGAAGGCACAAAGATGAACTCTATTTTAAACTTGCAAGTTAACATGCCCACGTAGCCCTCTAGAAATTCCCTTCTTTTGTAGTCTGACTCCCTCTAGGAGGATGTCATAGAATCATATTGATATTACATCTTGGCAAAGACAAATGCAATCCTATGTGAGTATGAATCAATAGAGTTTCCTAAACCATTTAGGTAATATTCCCAAGAAATCATCTAGGTCTCAAGAGCTTTGAAGTCATTAAGAGAGACATTAAATATTGCTGTTCTGGAATGCAGCATTACACTCAGAACTCATTTCCAGCTGTGACAGTTGTGAAATTCCCTTTCTACTGCAGAGCTATCTGATTTATTTCATTCGCAATTAATGGCTACCATTCGCTAAGGATGTCAGAGGCTTCTCAGATGAATTTGGTGGCCACAAGTTTATCTACATCAATAACAACCTATCTCTGCAATGTAAATGCATTTTACATGGCAGTTGCATGAGGTTCACCCTCTGGCATTCAACAATAACAGCTACACATACCTTCAGCAGCACCAGGTGCCACTCTGTCACTGGCGTGCGAGTTGCTCTGAAGCCACATGCAGAATAACTTAAAAAAGCAGGTGAAGTTCACAACAGCCCAAAAGGACTCACCTTGAGTAAGACACAGTGCACAGACGCAAGGAGGATCTGACCAAAGATGATGTCTATTTCTTCAAGTTATGTTTTGCATCTCTTCAGTGGGAAGCACTGACATACCAATACACTTGGGTAAGGATGCAAACAACTGCAAATGATCGTTTCAATTTAGGTGTAATAGCAAAAGACCTTTAGCTGTGAGCTGCTCTCTGATACATGCTGATGCTCATTATCCCAAGGGGATATGGTTTATCCCAAGGGGGAATGGTTTTAAACGGAGACAGGGGAGGTTTAGGTTAGATATTAGGAGGGAGTTTTTCACCCAGAGGGTGGTGACACACTGGAACAGGTTGCCCAAGGAGGCTGTGGATGCCCCATCCCTGGAGGCACTCAAGGCCAGGCTGGATGTGGCTCTGGGCAGCCTGGTCTGCTGGTTGGTGACCCTGCACATAGCAGGGGGTTGAAACTGGATGAGCATTGTGGTTCTTTTCAATCCAGGCCATTCTATGATTCTATGATTCTCTGATCCCAGCCAGGCCAACTGACCAATGGACAATGAGAAGAAGTGACATAACAGCACAGATGCTGTTCAGAGATGCAGATCCTCAGAAATGGCACCCACTGGCTTCCTGGTAACCTTGAAGACTTTGCTCATCTCTGTGCTCTGCTGCTGAAAAGCTGTGCTTCCCATCCTCTTCACATCCCACATCAGCCCAAGTCAACTCTTTCAAAATACCAACACTTAAAAATCCGCTTCCACTGCTTTGTTGGGTCACTCAGTTCTCAAATGATACCAACTAATAGTACTGGGATAACTGGGAAACAAAAAAAAAGACAATGACTGCAGTACAGGCAGAGGCTTTCCAACTGGTGGCACAGCTGTCAAACATGCAGCTATGGTGGGACCAGCATCCAGCTGCTGGCGATGGAGCTGGGAAAAGGCTGAAATGATGCTTACAGGTAGATCCCACTGTGGTCTTTGCACAGAGCCTAGGACCTTGCAACTCCTTCTCTCACTGCTCTCCTTTGCTCAGTGTAGGTGTCTTGAGCCCAGGCAAACTCTGAGCATTGTGTTCTGTCTTTCATGCACTTGAGTTTACAGAACTGGGTGCCTGTTATGTGAATGTTTATTGCCAAGGTTTTACATTTGAATAGGACAAACCTTTCTTTAGAAGTTAACGTGCACTCAGAATGAGATTGTATACAGTTCAGTTGCTTAAATCAATAATTTTGATTGGCTTTGTAGATATTTAATGACCAGATACAGGGCAGATTTCATCCAGACATATATAACCTGCTGTCTCTTTGCTTTTTTGTAACCAAGGAGTTCTGTTACATGTTTAACAGAAGTCTATGGATGTGGACTCACATAATTCAAAGTACTTCGAGCTGATGGGGAAGAGGAAGTGTCTAATTGTGAGCTGGCACGTGATGACACTATGGGCATATAAACAGTGTTATGTCCTAGTTTTCCTATTGCTTCTCATGCCTGGGATTGGGTCCTGGCTGCTCAGTGCCAGAAAAATCACTCAAATTCCAAATAGAAAGTTAACTTCCTTGTCTTGTACTGTAAAATTTATTTGTGTAACAGGAATAATGTATAGACACCAGCATCCTATATCAGAAATGTGTTGTAAGCCTGGTAAACGCCTTAGCTTGGCTTCAGTATTTACTAGATCTGGCACCCTGTATACCCTTTGTATCCACATATTAACACTTAATTACCTTGTCACATCATTAAAACCAGGCACATTTACATTCCGGAGAGGTGCTGTGGAGGTGAGTCAGAGAAAGATGAAAGAATGGCTGTTTTGTCCTTGCATCAGGAATATTTCTGGGAAGTTCCCCTCCGGCAGTGAAGTAATAGGATCAAGTCTGTCCCTTTGTTCAGGATCTTTTCAGCAGCAGGGTTGGACACAGGCTCCTCGGAGACTTTTTGTCCTTCTGAAGGCTAAAATTAGTGCATGACTGGGTTTTGAAGTTTTGTAATGAGGAGCAATATTTACAGGTCTGAAGGGCGAATATCTTGAGTACCATTTTGTGCATGAGCCCTGAAACATGACCAAAGAAATTGGAGCTTTCTTTTGAAGTACATCAGAAACGATTGCAATAATTAATCTATTAAAACCTCGACTCGTGCCACCTAATGATAATAAATTAACTACAATACCTCAGTTAACCTCATGATGGACATAAGGTCAATGGAGAGAGATTTTGGATATGCTAATCTGGATTGGCTAGCCTTTAGTTCCTTTATGTTAGCTGTCATGAATTCAAAGATGAGCACTTGAATTAAATTACCTTCTGCTAAAAGCTGGTTTGTACTCTCCACTGAGCAGAGGATGAGCTGCTGCTCAAGCAGATTAGCTCTCCAGTTCCCTCTGTTTCTTCCTGAGAGCAATACAGCTCCCATTCCTAAATGCTCATTCCTGGTTCATCTGCTATGGAAGTTTAGTGTCTGTGCTGCAACCCAGGTTGGGGGATTGATCCACCTGCTTCCTGGTGGACAGGCCCAGGTAGGACCAGGTACCTGAGCTGGTACTGCCACCAAACCTGGAGCTGTGCCTATAGCTATCCCAAGGGGACAGAGAGCACCTGTAGTAAGGCTGGAAACTGAGTTACACCCTCCCAGACTTCACACCACTCTTTTAACCAAGCCATCCTTTCCCTCCCTTTGTTTTTCCCCACTCCCCAGCCATGAACACGTTAAATGCAAAAAACCTCACACTGGCAAAGAGCAGTTTCACTTGCACTTTCTGCTTGTTTTCTGAATCGCAGCAGTAGTAAGCAGAAGGTAAGGCTCACTTCATAGATTTGGATAGTCACACAAGCTGTATTTGAATAAGTTGAATCTTTTGAGTTCGGACTGATAGGTTGGGAATCTGAAAAACCATCTTATCTCTATGGCTTCCACCATTTCTGCTTGCAGTTCTGCTTGTGACTTTAGTGAGAAAGGCTTTCTTGAAAAGTTGTCCAGATACCACTACTGCAAAATAATTGCCTGCATGCACCTTTGTGCAGACGTTCTCCTTGCACAACAGCTACTTTGGTACATTAGAATTTGCAGCCAAACCTTGAGCCAGGGTGTGCCATGTAAAGAGGGCTCCTGCTATGTCAGAACCAGGTCACAGATACTTTCTTTCCCAGCATGTTTTTGAACCGAATCCTCCATCTGCCACATTGAGGATGTAGGGAGATTTCAAAGGTGATTTTAGACTGGAAAAACTGATACTATGTTGGACAAAAAGCGACTTAAATTCAAGGATTGTAAACAGTACTATAATAGGAAGAAAGACCTTTAACACCGCATGAAAGGAGGTACTAGTTTGAAGAGATTATAATAAATTGCCAAATAGCCTGGGCAAGTGAAACACAGTCAGCCTCAAAAACCATTAAAGAACAGCTGAAAAAAAAAAGAAGTTTTGATCCTAATTAAGAGAAGCTTCTTATGTATGGTAACTCATGTAACATCTGCACTGTTAAAACAAGGCTAATGCCTCAACAGAACTTCAAGGCACACTATTTATGAGTTTTTATAGTGATGCCCATTGTAGCACCTAACAAACATGAAAGGACTTAACTTTACGTCATCACTGTGGGGCAGAGCGTGTTTATTAACCCTGTTAAACAAAT